GAAAAATGAGAGTTCTTGACTTGAAGTTGTGAGAAATGAAGAATAATGAAGGATCTTCCTACATATGAAGAAGGGTTCACGGCCAACATGGGTTTACGGCCGTAAGCCCTAGTTTGCGGCCGTGAACTCCTTGTAAAGGTGGTTCCGGCTCAATTTCAACTCAATGAACTCAAGTAAATACTTCCTAACACCCAATCCTTGAGTGTACTAGGCTTAGAACTCTCAAAAAGACTCTTAACAAAGCTAAAAGTCAACAAAAACAAGTATGACTTTTGATTGAATTGAATGGTTTTACAAAATAGAAATTTCGGGTTGTCACATTTTATGATATGAATTTCTGGGATACTCTGATGTTTGAAAATATTTTGAAAACACTTTGTAATAATTTAATGGTTTTAAATGGTTGAAAAAGTTTTAAATTGACTTGATTTTTATGGGTGTTACATGGTAAGCCAAAACTTTAAATTAAGAACAGAATTAAACCTCTCTGTGTCAAAACAATAGAAAAGTATGTTTTTGTGTTACGTTGGAAGAACGAGCCTCTAATCTAGGCTTTATGAAATGGGTGTTTTAAGTAAGAACATTTTTTATTTTTAAAGTAAGTACAACCATTGGTCATTAAAATAACCAAAATAAGAGAGAGGGGGGTATGACATGATGAAGATATTATCATATAGTCGCGTATTCTGCAAGGTCATTGGGGAACGACTCTAATTTGTGTAATTACTTCATGAATGACCACCACTGCAAAGAAATTTCATTTTTCATCGGGATAATGACTTAAAAATGCAATCTATTCGTTTTGTACTCATTTAGTCACATATTTTTTTTCGTCAACATTTGTTAATTAAACTTGTTATCTTGTACACAATCAATCCTGATGACCGTTTGGTGTGGGTTTAGTCGGTTTCTGACGTTTTTTGTAGCTTAGGTGAACCTTTGGTTATCTTCTCTGGCTAAACATGAATTTTCCAACGAAGTTTTTTTGTTTTTGATATGCTCTTATTCTTGTTTCGAGGTGAAGAAACAGAAATCTCCAAAACGAAATTTCAAGATCGGGGTTCAAAACCCGTTATGAAAACCCTCGAGTTCGTGAGCTTCAAACAGATCGAAGGTGTGTGTATGTGTGTTCATCGTGTGTGTGTGTGTGTGTTCATCGTGTTCACTTTTTGAACAAATAACTACCCTCAGGTCTCAGTTTGTGAGCATAATCTGGAAAGAATTCGACTTTCATGTGGATTCTTCTGAAATATACTCGAAATCTAGGGTTTTTCTTATGGGTTTTTTCTTAGTGTTCTTGAGATCAATATCTGGTTCATCATGGTTGTTCATTGTGTTCTTGAGATTCTTCATATTTGAGTATGTGTGTATGTGTGTTAGATCAAAACACGAACCCAAATTTGTATGTGTGTATGCTTTTGTTTTTTGCTAGATTTGACATGGATGATTTATTCGGATTCAAAAACCTTCGATTTCCTTTCTGGAAATAAAGTTTTCTCTTTAAAAATCGAACATGAAATCGTTTATGGGGTATTCTTCAAAATTTCAAAGTTTTGCTCAAGAAATTGTTTCAGATTTGCTTAAGAACACCATGGTCGGAGGTTGAAGACGATGAACCGTGATCTGATGTGTATGTATGTGCGTGTTCATCAAAGGTCTGATGTATGTATTGGAGTTCTTTAGTTTATGAGAAAAGAGAAGAAAGATACAGAATAAAAGAATAGACCAGAGTTCTTGAGTTCGTCGGAAAAATTATGGACGCCGGAGACTCGCTGGAGAAGAGGACCCGAGTCTCGTCGGAGCTGTCAAATACATCGAAAAATGGCTAAACTTATGATTGCAGGTCATAAAGATATTTTTTGAACAGTTCAAACAAATTCAATGGGAAAATGTAGACAAAAAAAACCTTAATGACTAAATGTGTATATATTAAAAAATAAGTTACCCCTTTAAGTCATTATCCATTTTTCATTTATTAAAACACGATCATATTTTGTAAAATAATAATTATTTCACAAAATAAGAACTTTTGAAGAATATTTTCCTTCTCGAATATTTTGATTTTTGGATTGGTTTTCAACAAAACAGAATTATTATTTTTGAATTTTGGATTCATTTTGATTTATAAAATAAAAACCGAATAGTCCAAAAAAAATTAAATATCAATTTATTATTTATTTAATATATCTATAATTATTTTTTAATTTTGTAATTTATTTTTTCAAATAGGTTCAAAAATTTTCCCCTAATAAAAAAACATTATTATGCATTTTCTCTCAAATAGTTTTTTATCTACAATATATTAAATTATAATATTAGTTATTAGTAGTTCTTTAAAATTTTTAAATAACACCTAAATAATTTGTTTTTGCTTCTTCTACAAAATTGGGTAATATTATAATTATATGTCGTTTTAAAATGTTTCGATTTTTTAAAACGAATTATAAAAACCGATCTAACCAGATTGTAATTAGATCGGATCGGATTTGACTTGAATTTAGTTTGGATTATTCGGATCCATGTTTTGAAAACCGAAATAAATTTGGATTAACTTAATTGGATTGGATCGAACCAATCCATTCAAAAGGACACCCTAGTAATGAGTAACTACTAGTTATACAGAAAAACATTTATAATGAGTCTTAAAGAGTAATAAATTTGCCCAAAAAATGTTCAAGATTCGCTCATACCATGATTTTGCTAAAAGAAATATTTGAAAAATACGTGGAAAAAGGATTATTAAGCAAACAATAGTCATGTAAATGAATATCAAGCTTAAGAGCATCCATAATGCATAGTTTAATGGGGGAGTTTAATGAGATGACATGTCTAATTGACATTCAATGGATTAAACTCTACCATTGTGGGATGTAATGGTGGCATTCAATGTATATGAAGTTCAATGATCAATGAACTCTTCAATGGAAAAAAAAACATTTTAACTATTAAATATATATTTCATTGAACTCTATTGAGTTGAATGTATTGTAGGAAAATTAATGTAGAATTGTATAGTAAGTAAAATGATTATGTGTCAATTCATTAAACTCTAATAAATTTAATGTATTGTGGATGCCCTAAGAACCTCGTACAAGATTTTGCTATAGAGCCTCAACTACTAAAATTTTAACATTTTATAAAATCTTTGTGAATCCTAAAATCCCCCCTAATAAATAAGAATCATGTGTCACATGTCATTTTCTCCTTCAATTTGTCAAATGTCAATTTGTGGTAATTTAAAGATATTTATTTTCTACTTGTCATTTACTTTATTTTTCATTTTCTAATATTATTAATTTAGTTTCCATAAATTAAATATACCATAATAACTATAATAATTTCAATTTTCAATTTTCAATTTTAATTTCTAATAAATTACTATTTAAACTTTCATATTTAACATTTTTATAATTAACACGTTTAGTACACGGGTCTGACAACTAAATATTTAATTTTAATTTATTTATTTGTTATTTTTTTCTCATAATTTTTATTTATTTTAAATTTCAAATACAAATAAACTTTCTGTTTACTTCTTCGTATTTAATTTTTTATTTTAATCAACTTGTATAGTATACGGATATCATAACTAATTAGTAGATAAATGATAGTAATTATTTATTCAAGTGATCCTAAAAAAAAAAACTTCACAAATAAAAATTTCTCACAAACACCATTTCATGAAATACTTAATTATTTGTAGTTTTGAAGAAAAAAAGTGTCTTTTCATAGATAGATTATTAGAATAGCAATTAAACTATAATCGATTATAATAATTTTCTGAAACTAAAATCAAGCTAAATAATTATTGTGCTGTATATATATCATGGTATTCCTCAATCTAACTGCGAGAAACATTAAGAGACATGGGGAAAGAGCCTGAGCTCGTTAATGACAACGAGTTCGCCGGAAAACACCATAACTCAGTTGATTACGATAATTTCATCCCAACAAATCCCCCGTCTGACTTGTTCTCCGTCAGAAGATTCCACCACGTCGAGTTCTGGTGCTCCGACGCCACCAACACCTCTCGCCGCTTCTCGTCGGCACTCGGCATGCCGCTTGTCGCCAAATCCGATTTATCCACCGGAAACACAACACACGCATCTTACATTCTCCGTTCCGGTCAACTCCTCTTCCTCTTCACCGCCCCTTACTCCGCCACCATCTCCACCAACACACCCTCCATACCCACCTTCTCCCACACTGCTTGCCGCGCCTTCACCGCTTCTCACGGACTCGCCGTCCGCTCAATCGCCATTGAAGTCGAGAATGCCGAGCTTGCTTACTCCACCAGTCTATCCCACGGCGCCAAACCCTCATCACCTCCAATCACCATCGGAGAATCCATAAACGCCGTCGTCATCGCCGAAGTCCAACTATTCAACGACGTTGTTCTACGATACATTAGCTACAAAAAACCCACCATCGGCATCGCATCAACTTTCTTACCAGGGTTCGAATCAATTAAAACAGATTCAACGTCACACAGCATAGACTTTGGTATCCGACGCCTCGATCACGTCGCCGGAAATGTCCCGGAACTCACTCCCGTCATCAAGTACTTAAAATCCTTCACCGGATTCCATGAATTTGCAGGATTCACGGCGAAAGACGTCGGGACAAGCGAGAGTGGGTTGAATTCGGTGATTCTCGCATGTAATAACGAAAAGGTTATCATTGGGATGAATGAGCCGGTGTATGGAACAAGGAGGAGGAGCCAGATACAGACATTTCTGGAGCACAACGAAGGTCCTGGAATTCAGCATTTGGCGCTGGAGAGCGAAGACATATTTAGGACACTTAGAGAGATGAAGCGGCGGAGTGTGGTTGGTGGGTTTGAGTTTATGCCGCCTCCGCCGCCGACTTACTACCGGAATTTGAAGAACAGGGCGGCAGATGTGCTCAGTGATGAGCAGATGAATGCGTGTGAGGAGTTCGGGATTTTGGTAGACAGAGATAACGAGGGCACTTTGCTTCAAATCTTCACCAAACCTTTGGGTGACAGGTATCCATTTACATGTACAATATTAATATGTACATGCACATGCATATACATACATACGTGTGCATTTAACCTAAAAATATATATATTTCTATTGTTTGATATATGAATTCTTTATGGCAAACTACTTATAATATATAAGTTTTTAATTTTGATTTAGGCCAACGATATTCATAGAGATAATCCAAAGAATAGGGTGCATGATCTCGGGTGTTAATATGCAACAGAAGCCAGGATGTGGTGGATTCGGTAAAGGAAACATTTCAGAACTTTTTAAATCCGTCGAGGAGTATGAGAAGACATTTGAAGCACAAACTTCTGACATACATATTATCTGACCATGGTTCAGATTGAAAGTCGTACTCGAGATTGTTCTTTAACGTAGAGAGAAATAAGGAGTGATATTATAAAATAATTAAAGTCGTAGATCTTCTTGTGATGGAGAAATATCTCCTTTGAAACTATAAGCATAAAGTTTGGTCAAAGATCATATAAATTATAGTTCAACACGAATCTAGATGATTAACTAATTAAGCAAAGCTCGAGGACTATTACTTCCCCCCTGGTCGGTCGGTGAAGTGTTCTTCATTAACTAGTGTTCATACTTATGGTGAAGTTCAAATGACCAATTTGCCACCTCCGGGCTACCGAATCCTCTCTTTAATTCTCTCATGATTACTTATATATCATCTCGGTCGTTTATGTCATGTTGAAATCAAAGTGTAAACAACACCACCTCTTGTATAACACTTTGCATCTAATATAGTTTCTTAAGTATCTTTGTTTTTATATTTGATGGTTGTTATACCACTTACCACACAATCGTTTTGTCACCCAACGCAAAATTGCCAAACTATCATTTAAACGTGGCTTAGCTTGTATTAAGTATTGCGCCTAGTCGTGAAAGAGCCCAAGTTAAGTTTAGGAAAACATGTGTATCAAGCCCACATGTATTTGGTCCAAACCCACCCATAGATAAACTCATGTTAGCCTATTAGTAATTTAATCTCTTGCCCTTTTGTTTCTTTACCAAGACTAGGGATGAGATCAATTCTGAAACCGGATCGAACCGACCAGAAACCGAAAAATGAAAATTCAAGAAACCGATAACTGAACCGATTTACATATTCAGATTCTATATGGTTCTTGTTTGGTTCGATTTTATGTTTAATTTCCTTTGTAATTAGATAAGATTGGTTCTGGATTCGGACCGAACTGACATGTGGTGAGAGTCAAAATGACCAATTTGCCATCCTTGGGCTTAGAATTCTCCCCCTCCCTTATGGTTTCTTATTTATCATATCGGTCATTCATGTCATTTGAAAATCAAAGCGTAAACAACACCACATCTATAATACTTTGCATCTAACAAGTAGGTACCATATGCTCTCCTTGCATCACAAGTTTACCATGGTTGGCCTTTAATCAGTGTCATTGACATAGGCCTTCCAGCAGCCGACTCGAGGGTGGGGTGGGGGGGGGAGGTGGTAATCATTATCTGGTTTTCATCAAGGATTGTTTTGAACCTATATTTGGGCAGTTTCATTGATAATTGGCATTCAGAGTGGTCTTCCAAGTGGTGGTACAAGTGTGCATGGAAATAGAAGTAATGTTGTGAATGAAATGTCTTATACAAATATGCTTGTGGGAAATAAAAAGGGACATAAAATGTGACTACTTATTGTAACGCCTGGTTCCGGTACGTATTTTAAATTTAAAGATTTTATGTTTTTACATTGGGACTCGGCGAGTTGGAGGCCCAACTCGTCGAGTAGACAAGACTTTGGATGCAGGTTTTAAGTAACCTACTCGACGAGTCGGGAGCCCGACTCAGCGAGTAGGACTGTCTGGATGAAACCCTAATATTTAGGGTTTGCACCCTATTTAAACAACTTATCTTGTCCCAATTCATCCTCCATCGTCCCTCCCAACTCAGAGAAACCCTAAATCGAAACCCTAACCTTGTTTGAGTGTTCTTGAGCCATTTTTGTGTGCTTGTGGTGATTGTGAAGCTTGAGAAGGAAGAAGGAGCTTGGAAGTTCGAGTAGAAGCTAGTAGATCCAGAGGTTGTGCCCTATTTCCAGCTCACTTGAGGTATAAAGCTGAAACCTTGACCATCTATCTCTTAGATCTCTAGTTAGGGTTCATTTCTACCTTTTCTAAGCCTTAGAGGTGTCATACTCGAAATTTTGTGGTTCATTGAGGGTATAGATTCAGATTTGGAACCATTGGGGGTCCTTATGGCATAAAGGTGCCAACTTTATTGCCATAAGGACCCCATGCATCTTGTAGACTTCATTCTAGAGCCATTTGGGCCAAATACCTCATACATGGACGTCAAGATTGGAACTTTACGTATAATATGGACCCTAGGAGGTCAGATCTATGGTTTGGATGCATTAAGACCGATTAAAATCGATTGTATAGTTTGGGACAAATAGGGACTCGACGAGTCGGGTCGCAGTTTCCCCCAAACGTCTTCTGGAATTGGTCTTTGCTTGAGTTGAAGGAAAACTCAGCCTGTTGGGGTTTGTTATGGACTTGAAGATCGAAGGACTCGACGAGTTCAAGGAGGAACTCGGCGAGTTCAAGGCAATGTCCCAACCACATGAAGACGGACTCGACGAGTTCAAGGAGAACTCGACGAGTCATAGACTAAACACCTTCATACGGATGAAGATGAACTCGACGAGTTCAAGGATGAACTCGACGAGTCAGTTGAAGAAGGTCCCGATGTTTTGTTGAAGGCGAACTCGTCGAGCTCTTGCTAGACTCGACGAGTAGGGACGGGGTTGTAGCACTTCGTGGACGTGGGGACTCGACGAGTTGGCGAACCAACTCGGCAAGTCTAGTCAACCAGATGTTGACTTTGACCAAAGTTGACTTTGACCAGGGTTTTGACCTTGACTTTGACTTGGACTTGAGATGACCCTTGTAAGGGTTATGAGTATGAAATGGTAATTTAGAAAGGTTGTTGTGTAGGGATTGAGGAGTTGAGAGTAGTTGATTTCCATACCGACGACAGTGCAGACACTAGATGACACCGAGGTGAGTTACCTTCCAGTAGGGGTGGGTCTAAGGCCACAATGCTGGCCCACCAGCAGGAGTCGTTGATAGATGATTGTCTCTGTGATAATAATCTAGGCTTGCTACTACCTGATATGTGTATGTGCTAGCATGATATGTTGTATGTGGTAGTAGGAGGGAAGTAGTCCCCGAGTTCGTTCGTTAGGACCGAAGGGTAGGTCGGCACCCCAGATATGCCTGACAGTATGTTTATGCTATGTTTTGTGTGGTAATAGTAGGGGTGAAATAGTCCCCGTAGCCGGTTGGGATAAACCGGAGGGTAGGTCAGCACCCCAGAACTGCTTGACATGGGTAGGTCATCACCCCAGAACTGCTTGACATGGGTAGGTCAGCGCCCCAGAACTGCTTGACATGGGTAGGCCAGTACCCCAAAACTGCTTGACATGGGTAGGTCGGGCACCCCAGAATTGCCCGGCAGTATGTATGTTGTATGGTATGTGGTATGA